ATTTATTCAATCCGTTCTCCGGGTGCCTTCATCCCGTGCCACCCTGAACCGGCACCTGCTTCTCAACCTTCCTCCGAGAGGCTGCTCATCGCCGGGGCAACCAGGGGCCTCACGGGTTTATGGCACTCCCTGCTCGTCCCCGCCAGGAGCAGCCCTGCCCCACTTAACTGCCAATCACCCCCCATCACCAGCTGCGCCCATTTGGCCACCTCAGGGGACTGTGAAGACCAGGGTCCTTGTCCTGGCTCTGCTGCCGCCCAGAGGGAGACCTCGGCAGTGGCACTCACCATGGAGAGGTCAGAACATGCCGGTGGTAGACAGATCCGAGTTCAAATCCGAGTTTGGCCTCTTCCTCGTGGCGTGACACCAGCCAAGGTGCCATCTTCCTGCGCCCCAGTTTCCTAGTCTGTGAAACAAAGATAACAGTGTCCACTGCATACGGCTGCGGAGGGGATCCACGCCACGTGCACGGGGAGGGTGCTGTCAAGGTCCGCTATGGTGAAGCGGCTTAAAAAGCCCTGCATGTAAGAAAAAGCAAGATCACTGTCAGCTGTTTGTAATGATATCATCATCGCCCCTGCAGATGCTGTGTGTCTTTGAGCAAGTGACTTCACCCCTCTGAGCCGCAGTTTCCTCAGCTGTGAAATGGGGAGGATAACTATATACTTCGTAGGGTTCTGAGAACTAAAAAGACACATTTAAAAAAACCCTGGCGTTGCGGTGCGATTGAGCATGTAGCTCAGCGTTGAGCAAATGCTACCATGACACTTGGGGCCCTGATTTAAAGCCTTGCTCCATCTCCTTGAGCTGTGTGACCTTGAGGAAGTCATTTCTCCTCTCTGGGCCTGAGGTTTCCTCATGTGCAAGTTAGGGATGATAATAATATTAATAGGCTGTTGAGAAAATTAAATGAACTGTCCTTAGGATGCCTGGACATAATCAGTGCTCAATCTGTGGGCCTTATTAATATTTACTTACTACATTCTCTTCTCTGGGCCTCAGTTTCCTCATCCATAAAATGGGTGCAATGATCGCTGTGATCCCATTCAGCCCTCATTATTCTGCTAGTCACTCTCCCTCTCACTTTGGCACAATGTTCCTGGAGCCACAGCCCCCTAGTTTTGTCAGATTGTGGCCAGTTACCTCTGCAGGTCACTTGTCTCCCCAACCCCACTCAGCAAGTCAAACAAACCAGAGGTGTTGCTAAGCGGTCCTTGCTTTACCTGGGCCTTAGCTATTAGAAAGGGCTGTGAAAAGGGTAAAACGTGATTCGACAACAATGGTTGTTTTTTAGTTGCTACCACGTGCCAGGCCCGTGGATGTATTCCCTGGACCCTTGGCAGCTGGTATTGTCATTTCCAGTTATAAAAGATGAAGATTGAAGATGAAAGTGGTTAGACCATTTGCTCAAAGTGACTCTGCTAGGAAGTGTAAAGCTCGAATTTGAATTAAAATAGCAATAATAATAATAAACAATTACAATAATAGCAGCTAACATTTGTCAGGGGGCAATACTACCCTTTTAAATATTGCCTCTTTAAACTCTCCCAATGACCCCATGGTGTGAATATTATTCCCATTTTATAGATGAAGAGACAAGTCTGAGAGAGATGGAATGACTTGCCCAGAGTCACGAAGCTAAAAGGGACAAGTGGTCTCAAGCCCGAGTCTGCCTGCAGCCAACGCCCGATCCAGGTGTCTGACAGTCCCTCACTGTCCCGTACGGTCTTGCAAGCATCAGAGGTCACCCAGCAGCCGCTCCCAGCCGGGCCCAGGTGGACCTCCACACACTTCAGGGCTGGGGCTCTCTGAAGCCCCCAAGAGGTTGCTGGAGAAGGCAGCGTCGTGAACCCGACTTGGGCCCTGAAGAGGGGGTTGCACCGGTTCTCTTAGAACAGGGATTGCGACCTAGGGGTTCCGTGGGCTTCCTAAGATTGCAAACTCGTGAGTGTGTGCGCGTCTAGCTAGGGAGAGTGTGCACAGGCTTTCATCAGAATTCCAAAGGTGACAAACCACGGCTTGAGAAGTTTCTGATTCCATGCAGTGGGAGAACACAAGGGACATCACCAAAGCTCCTGGGTCTCCCCAACCTGCCCGTCCTTACCTCCACTTGGACTTGAGCACTGTCTTCCAGGAGGACTCTGGATGAGAAGAGCAACAGGCCAAGGCGAATCAAAACTGCACGCCCAGCTGGACTGCACAGGTGAGTCTATTCCAGCGTGGGGCCGGCATTGCCAGAAAATTCCCAGGCCCCGTCAGAGGGGAGGGATGAGCCGCAAATCCTCCCAGGCACTGATTTATGTAGCATTCATGCGGAATTTATTATACAAAGAATTTTATGTAATTAAACTTGAAATGTGTCTAGATTCTTAAAGGTTCAGTAGTGATCACTGGGACAGAGCGATCATAAAACTGGATGGGCTGTCGGAAGGAGGCGAGGGTGACATTGCAGCTGACGGGGGATTAGGAACCAGGGACGTTTGTCACTGGGATGTGTTACAAGTTCGGGCTGTGGAAATTACTCGGCGAAAAATGCACATTAACAATAGCCGTGAAATATCAGTTAAGGGACACCAGGTTGAGAAACGAGACAGCAGGATATACGGTGCCTGGCATTGTTCGCTGCAGCCCAGGTCGTGATTCACATGACTGTCAAGTGGCGGTGGGGCGGGAGCCACGAGGCCACGGCCTGGGCCCGCGTTTTGGCACCGACTTACCAGGACAGCTTAGTTCCCCTCTCCGAGCCTCAGTTTCCTCACCTGCAAAGTGGGGCACCTTGAGTGCCTCCTCCCAGCGTTGCTCTGAGGTTTAAATGAGATAACATCTGTGGAGCACTTGGCCGGGGGCCCTTCCACAACTTGGCTGGTGTCACTGTCACCCTTGGGCTTCTCTTGACCTGGAAGATCCAACCACCAGCTCGTCTCTGGTAACGATGCTCCACGCCGTGTCCCGGGGAGCCTGAGCTGCACTTGGGTGAGGCAGGTGAGGCGCTTTTGCGGGTGCAAAATGCAGGGGAGTGCCAGCGAGCTCAGCGGTCAAGAAAGAGTTCCGTGCAACATTTCCAAAAATCAAGTTATGAAAAAAACTATGAGAAACAAGGGCCACCATTTTAAATAAAAACAGGCTGCTGTGTTTCACAACCCCGAGTTACCGCGCGATGGGAATGATGGTTTACGAGGGCTGACAACGGTGTGCAAACAGAAGGGGCAACACAGGTTTTATGGATAGACCTGTTTTTTGATAGTAGAACTTTTCTTAACTTTTCCCCCCTGGTTCCAAATATGGGAGGGCGCTTTGGTCAGGGTACAGAGGGGTCCACCTTTTTCCTTTTGCCTTGGGCTCTAAAATAGCTTCATAAGGCACCATGGAAGAGGAAACGCTTCAAACAACCCATCCTCCTGGCCCCAAAGCGAGCGTTCTCTGTTTTTCCAACACCTGCCAAGATGTTGCGTCCACCTGGGGCCATCTCTCAGGGAAGCGTTTGCTGGTGAACGGCAAGACAGATACAGAGGCGGGGGCCTGAGAACCAGCGTTAACGTCTGGCCTGCGATTCAGCCGCTCCTGGAAGGACACGTGGGGACAGGACTTGGCAACAGGCAAAGGCCTTGTTTCAAAGACTGTCGCTTGAGGCTGTTGTCTTTACTCAAAGAGCGCTCCATGTGCTTTACCATGGCTAGGAGTACAGGTGGGGCTGTCACTTTATTATGTCCACCCTGCGCTTTCCAGGAAGACTTGGAGGCGCAGGCAGAATGGAGCAGTTGGCTGCAAGCTCTTGCAGCATCCGCCTCCCGGGCCGAGCATGGAGTGATCGCTCGGAGGTTAACCAGCATTACCTTCTCCGCAACACTCGCGATCTTCCTGTTTGCAAATACTAAGCACCTACTATGTACCACACCTGGAAGTGACTACAGAGTGGGAGGCATTGGACATGGCCACCTCCTGGAGGATGTTGACTCGCTCGGAGTCATCTGCACCACAGGCAATGAAAGCACCCAGAAGACACGCACGTGGCTGCCCGTCCTGCAAAGTTAGCAGGCGAGGTGGCAGGAACGAAGGCAAAACTAAGTGCACAACGGAGAATTTAATGTTTGCCGACTTGCCAGCAAGGACAATGGCCAGAGTGGCCAGGCTTCCCGAGCCTAGCGTGGTGCCCGTGCGAAGCGGGCACTCCGTCAGTAAATGATGACTGCGCCAGGCGTGTCAGCCCTGCTGGCCAGCAAGAGCCTGCCCTTCCGAATTCATTGCCTGCAATTAGCAGCGTGGAATCTTTAGGTTCTCCGGGCTGCCTCTCTGCCCTTCATAAATATCCCCCTTCCCAAGGACACAGCTGGCACTGGCAGTGTCGTTTCATAGCGGGAGGGAGCGGTGGTGACAACTGAAATAAAATACAGCCGTGGCATGGATCTCAGAGGCACAGACCAGCCAAGCGTGCGACATCAGAGAAGTCAGTCTGGTCGGCGTCAGCCTCGCGGGAAACTGAAGACCTCATTTTCTCAAGCTGAATTCGCACCCCTCGGACCCTCCGCTCTGTGCGCTGCCTTTAAGCGGTGGTGTTGGTCCCACCAGGGTCTCCGTCCCTTTTAGCGGGGATCCTCCACGCCGCGCCCCCCACACACTCTTCAACCCAAGCCCAGAGTTTCTGAGGCCTCACCTGTCAATCTGCCACCGCCCAGCCCCCACACTTTGGCAGTGATGGGTGGCTCAGAGGTGACTAAACTTCCAAATCCTGTCCGCCTTCCCCTTTATAAATGTGACATTTAAAGCCCCTTTGGCACAGGTAAATCACAATTACATTTCCAAGGGCCTCTGGTCCCATTCCAAATCCTTGAGCAACCTGAGCTGGCGGGGGAGGGCTCGTGCACGCTCTCCCTCTCTCTTTTTCTCTCTCTCTCTCTCTCTCAAACACACACACACACACACACACACACACACACACACACACACACACACACACACACACACACACACACACACACACACACACACACACACGGCTCAAACCTTCCCATTTTTATTCGTTTTTCCACAGGGCTCCTCGTTGTGGCACTTTACCATCCTTACCGGCGATACCGAGTTCACTCCCACTTTCCTCCAAGACCGAGGGGCGCCTGGGGGTCGGGGCAGCATCCTCAGAGGGCCACGGTCCCTGGAGGGAAGTGGCAGCGGGTGTGCAGCAAAGCTGAGCCGGGACAGAGGCCTGCTTCCTGCCCCTCTGGGGCGATCTCTGGGAACCAGGACACGGGAAGAGCAAGCTCTTCCCTTCCCCGCCATCGCCACGGAGGGGTCCACAAAGCTCCCCCTTTCCGTTATTTTGAAAGGCCTCAGGCCCAGTCTCAGGCTCAGTCCGATGGGTCGCTTTTCTTGTAGATTTTTTCTCGATTCCCCTCCTTCATGGCTGCGTATCTGGCCAACGTGAAGAGATAGTCGCTGAGTCTGGTGGGGCAGAGAGAGAAGCGAACAAAGTGATCTGAAATGAGAGATCAATGCTAACTGGGTCTTCCCACAGTAGCCTTCAAGGAGGAAATACAAATTACGTGCCCCCAGGAGCATCACGCAGGGATGGCGGGTGCCTGGCCACCTCGGGCTTGATGGATGCCACTCGACCAGCTTCCATGAGAGCCAAGGGTCTGACTCTAGTGCCAGGGCTGGGGCCATTCCTGCAGGGAGAGGCCGCTGCCTCCCCCCACCCTATGGGGCAGGTGACTTTGGGCCCCTCTGAGCTGGTTTCTGGATCTTTTTTTTTAGACAAGGTTTTGCTTTGTCACCAAGGCCAAAGTGCAGTGGCGCCATTATAGCTCACTGTAACCTTGAACTCCTGGGCTCAAGCAATCCTCCCACCGCAGTCTCCCAAGTAGCTGGGACAACAGAGGCACACCACCATGCCCAGCTAAATTTTTAAAAAATTTTTTGTAGAGACAAGGTCTTGCCATGTTGCCCAGGCTGGTCTCAAACTCCTGGACTCAAGCGATCCTCTTGCCTTGGCCTCCCAAAGCTGGGATGTAGGCATGAGCCACTGTGCCCGGCCAGTTGTCTACACCTTTGAGTGACCAGGACTCACTTGAGTGACCAGCTGGGTGTTTCCCAAACTGGAGTGTGCATGTACACACGTCACCTGGAGGTTGTAGCAACATGCAGATTTTGATTTGGGAGGGCTGGGCCAGGCCCAGGATTCTGCGTGTCTAGTGCCCGCCTGGTTGACGCTGACCCTTCTGGACTGAGGAAGCCAAACTTTTGAGTACAGGGGCCCTAGTCAGGGTCCTCGACTTCACCCCTACTGACATTCTGGATAATTCTTTGTGGTTGGGGCTGTCCCGTGCAGCATCCCTGGCCTCTACCCACTAGATGCCAGTAGCACCCCCCCCCCACCACCCAGCGTGACAACCAATAATGTCTCTGGACATCGCTGAATGTCCTGGTTGAGAAGCACCGGCCTGGAGTATTTAGTGACAGAAACTAGCCCCTCCAGCTTTTTCCTTTGACAAGCGTCTTTATGTGTGGCCTTGTGCTGGGGCAGCGGCGGAGAAAACTGTGAGAGAAGACGCCAGGCAGGCCCTTCAGTGCTCACGCTGGGCTCAGCAGAGCTCTCCCGGCTCTGGCTGTCCCACGATTTTCACCACCTCATGCTCAGCGCACCCCTACGCTCCTCCGTCTCTCCCTGCCCCAGCCCTGCCCTCTGAGGCCAGCTCCACACACGTCCTCCTGGACCCTTCCCTGTGGTCAGGGCCCCACCGCTGGCTGTGTTGGGGAAGGTAGGGGAGGCTCTGCTTGGGTGCTTCTCCCTCCTGGACCGCAGCAGCTCGCTGGTTCCTCCCTGGCTCTGTGAAGCCCCGCGGAGGGGATGAACTGACCTGGCCCAGGACACACTATGGGACCAGAAAGGCAGCCTGGGGGTGCTGCTTCAGAGGTGAAATGGAGCCATTCCCCACGCGCCGGCCCGGAGACGCCCCTTCCCGAAGGAAAGGAGCTCGTCAGGACTCATCCAAGCCAGGCCTCGTCCTGGAGGGAGCAGTGCCCACAGCCAGGGGCCAGAGCCGGCTGTGAGGTCTGGACACCCAGGGCCGCTCCCCCAGCTCTCTGCCTGCCCCTGGGCTCTGGCCTTCCCACGTGGGTATTCACAAGCAGGGGCTGGAGTGAAACCAGCAGAGCAGGCTCTGGGTCCTGGTGACTCCGGCCTTGGGGCTGACCACAAGGCAGAGGGAGTCCTCCCTGGACCGGCCTGGCTCCCTGGGTCCTGCACAGGGGCCCCTGAGCTCAGCTTGGACGCCGCCTCAGGGCCTCTCGGGGAGGGGAGACTGGCTGAGGGCAGGCCTGGCTCCTGGGCTCCTGGTCAGTCATCAGCGAGAGGCCTTCCCCGAGCACAGCCTCTGGGAGTGCCCCTCGCTCCTGTGCTGTCCCTTCATGCTTAGGTTTTTCTTCCTGGTTTTATGGTGGCCTCTCCCAACAAGATCCTAACTTTCCTGGGACAGGCACGGTGTCCACCTTGTTCACAGCTGTCTCCCTGTGCCCAGCATGGCGCCTGGCACTCAGCAGACACTCACAGACACGAAGTGAACGAGCGTGAGTGCGCGGGCACTGCTGGGCGCTGTCCTCAGGCCCCCTGCCCTGCTGCTATTTCCCACAAATGTGCCCTTTTGGGGGGAGAAAGACGCTCCCAATTCCACCCAAGTACCTGTTTAAGAACTTGGCCACGTTGGCATCCGTCTCTCCCATCTGGACGAGAGGCACCACGCTGGAGAGGGAGGAGACACATGGTCACGCGACATCACGGTGCTCAACACGCTCCAGGACCTGGGGACAAAACCCTGGCCGGCCTTTCACACCCGCCACTGCTAGGCCTGGACCTGCACAAACTCGGCCGGCATTAGAGATGAAAAACTCCATCACCTGCGGGTCTAAACGGGCCACTCAATACCCCTTTCCTTGGGCACATCACACGGGGGCCTGGCGGAGGAGGGACAGAGGATGGCCAGGGAGTTGAGGACAGTGGGCTGTACCATATCACAGCCTGCAGCCTTTGTGCCACTGGGCCCAGGGCCAGGGTCCCCCCTGGGTGGGGAGGTCAGCCTGCAGCCCACAAAGGAAGGGGAGGCTGACCCTTAATTCCCAAGGGGCTACCCCTCTAAGCCCCTTCTATGTATGACTTAGAGCAACTTCCCAGGGAAGAAAAAGACCCGTGCAAACCAAGGCCACTTCCACACGATTCTGAAGTCCCTGCCGTCCGTGCCTGCCACGTGCAGACTTTCAGCCAGCGGACTGCCGTCTGCTGGGCACCAGCGACGTGGTGGGCCCCTGCTGGCCCTTCCAAGCACATCACCCTGCTGCATAACCCCTGCTGGGAGGCCCTCTCCCGGCAACCCGGCCTCAGAGTTCTTGTCCTTGTCCCAGCCCACACGCTGGCTAGTGGCCCAGCAGGGTGTGCACGAGGCTGCCTCTGTGGGCGCTTCGCACTCGCGGGGAGCTCCTTGCCCGAGGTGGCCCGTGCGTGTCTCCACCTCACCAAAAGTCCGCACGCTGGTCATTGCGGTGGCTGTGCAGCTTGAGGATGTGTCTTGACAACCCATCATCTGCCCGGCCATTCCTCTTTGGTGGGCCTTTGGGTCATTTCCAGTTTTTTGCTATTATGAGCGCTGCTGATGTGGGTGGCTTTGTACAAATGACATTTTTTTCTTTTGAAGCCAAAGCTCTTTCTGTTACCCACGATCCCTCAGGAACTATCTGGGCCCAAGAGCTTTCCATGAAGGACAAAACCTCTGTGATGTGGGACTGTGGAAAGAGCTCAGGGTTTGGACCCAGGCAGACCTGGGCTCAGATCTGGGTTCTGCCATGGACCACTTGGGTGACCCTGGCTACGATGTCACTTCTCTGAGCACATTTCCTAACTCCTGCAAAAGTAGGGGCCGCCACCACCTCTCTCCCGGGGTTATCATGAAGAATCAATGAAATTATGAACATACAGTGCCTGGCATGGCCCCGTCGGTGGTGTCAAAGCAGGACTTCATTCCTATTTCTCTGTAGGTCTGGGTGGCAGCCTGGTCTGTGAGTCGTGTGAATGGAGATTTTGCAATTCCTCTCCTAAATTTTCTTTGGAAACGTTGTCGGTAGCTTTTGAGGGTCCTTCCTCTTCCCAATCCTGAACAGGGGGAGGGGTTGGGGCAGCGGGTGGCTGGTCTGTTGACAGCTTCCACTGGGCCCCCCACAGCCACACAGGCTCCGCCAGTCCCTTCCGCACCCAGCAGCCACCAGGGTCCTTTCGTGCCACCACCCCCCATGGCGTAGAACTCATCAGTGGCTTCCTGTTGCTGTCAGAATAAAGGCAGAGCCCTCTGGGCCTGTGAGTCATGTAAGTACATCACTGTTACTTCCTTTGACCACGAATCACTGTCTCCCCTCCACCACGCAGGGCTCTGAGAACAGGAACTTGCTGTCCTGGTCCCCGCCTGGCACAGGGAAGATGCCTGGACAGGGTCTGTCGAGGAGCAGCCGGATGGCGCAGGGCCGACCCTGCTGTGCCTGCCTCCTGCCCACTGCGAGGAGGGTCTCTTACCGTCTCTCAGCGCGGCGGCACACGGCCCGACAGAAATGCAGCGCAGAGCTGCTCTTGCCTCCCGACTGAAAGGAGAAATCGGGTGTTGGCTGGGGCAGGGCTGGGAAGGTGTGTCCCCCCGCAGACAGGGACATCCAGGCCCTGCCCCCAGGCCCCCCACTGGGCAGTGTTCTGCCTCCAGGGGGCCCTGCTGGGGTACCCCCTGAGCACCCCCTCCAGAGTGGGCAGGGCTGGGGAAGGACCAGGGAGGACCTGGAGGAACTTAGGGGATGGGGGGATAGCTTCTGTCACTGTAAACAGCTAACAACAGGGACTTCTCCAGAGCCCCTGGGTTTCTGTCACTGTGCCTGGCCTGCAGCCGCCCCTAGGGTGAGGAAGCCCAGTACCTACGGGCAGGATGAAAGCCGTGAGTGGGGGCAGCTGGCTGGTGTATCTGTCGATCCACTGCTCCAGCTCCAGGATGGGCCCTGGTGCAAATGCAGCGTGCTCTGAGGAGTCAGGGAGCAGAAGGAGACTGCCATGAGGCCACTGCCTGCCGGACCACGAGGGCAACCGCCCCACATCCCTTCGGCCGGGGTGTCCTTCAAACTACTTCCCTCCCGGGGGCACGAACAAGGCTGACTGGGCCACCTGTGGGTCCCTGGGGGACCGGGCTCCCAGGTGGTAACAACCAGGAGAGTCCCCCTGCAACCCTCTGAACACCCAGGGTAGGCTCAGAGCATTACTTAAGTGAGCTTCCCTGGCCGAGGAGCGCGGTGTCGCCAGGGCGGAGCCGACGTCCTGCAGCACGCACTGGATCTGGGGGAGCAACAGAAGGTGTGAGTGAAGGTCTACTCATGGCGGCTGGGCAAAGATGACATAGTTCCACGTGTAGAGGTGCCACCTGACATGGGCAAAGCGTGCAAGAGCGAGCGTGTGAGGGGGCTGCCAGACATCGCGTTAGCTGACATTTAATGGCAAACTCAGAACCTTCAGCACAACGTCTTCCTTGGAGGGGGGACGTGATGCGGCTCTTTGGGAGCCTGAGGGGGGAAGAGGCTCCCCCAGGGGCAGCCGGGCTGTGCAGACAATGAGCGTCAGGCGCCCCCGTGCTGGCCAAGAAGAACGGTCTCAGCTCTGGTCCACATCTCCCATGCACCTAGGCCCCGTGAGGTTTTCTTCTCTTCTCTACGCTTGACAGCTTTGGTTTCCTAACCTGTAATAGTTGGGCCAAGAGACCAAACATGACAGGGCTTTCTAAGCCATGAAGGACAAGGAGCTTTGACAACATGAAGTCAGCTGGGGTGTGTGGCGGTTCTAGGAGCAGGAAGCTCAGCTGGCCGAGGCCTGTGCTCTATCTAAGGGGAGTGGGTTTGCTCGGAGCAGAGGTGGCCTGCTGAGGTCTGCTGAAAGGACCCCTGCATGACAAACCCCTGCATGACCAGCAGGCTCCTGTGTTGGCGAAACCCACTAATGCCACCTCTGACTTTGTGCCTGCCCAGGGTCCCCTTGAGCTGGATGGTGGGCTGTGGAGGCCTGTGACCTCAGACCTGGGATAAGACAGCCACTGTGACTGGGTGCGAAGAACAGGCCACAGCGGACAAGAGCAGAGGCTGTCCCCACAACACTTCCTTGGGCCACTGACCAGCAGACTGTGGGGTCTCTGTGCCTTCATGGGAGAAGGGTGAGTAATAACACCACCCCCTTGGCTGGTCCACTGCAGTGCTCACCCCAGGGGCTGGGGAGAGCTGGCATCAGCTTGGGACTCAGATCCCAGCTCCACTGATGCCTGGCTGCCGGGCCTGGGCAAGTCAGCCTCTCTGAACCTCGGTTCGGCTCCCTACGGAGCATGGATGTCAACCTCCTCCTCAGGGGCTCCCGTGAGGGTCGAACGGGGTGATGCAAAGGAGCAGTGACACGCTGCCCAGCCTCACCCACAGGCCCAGTGAGCAGCTCCCCACCAGGCTGGGCTCCTGGGTGACCCAGACACAGTTCCTGCCCTCATGGTGCCCAGGCCAGGCGGGAGGCAGGCACATGAACAGGCAGGTTAACACTCCCTGTGATGCCTGTGGTTAGTGGGTATGGAAACCCCGGAGTGGCAGCTGACCCAGCTGGAGGGAGCACGGCCAGGGAAGGCCCTGGAGGAGGTGACGGGGCAGCTGCAACCCAAAGGACAGGGGTCATAAAGCACAGGTGCCTTTTCTCTCTGCAAACCCTGCTCAGAGCATGGCACACAGAAGTGAACACTGCTGACATGCACAGTTCCTCATGATGACGCTAACAACCGTGCCCCACCACACAGGAGCGGGCTCATTCACAGAACGTTCTGGCAGCTGAGGCCTCCCATCCTTCTGCAGCCACAGCTTGTGGCAGCCCCACTCACTCCCCTCCATCTCCTCCCAGGGGCCTGAGTGGGCTGCAGCCTGGGCTGGAGCACTGAAGTGGCCAAGGGCTGACCAACCAGGGAGCAGTTTCTAAAGACTCAGGTCAGCCAGACATGGTGGCTCACGCCTATAATCCCAGCACTTTGGGAGGCAGAGGCAGGAGGATCGCCGGAGGCCAAGAGTTTGAGACCAGCGTGAGCAACATAGCGATACCCCATCTCTACAACAACAAATAAAAAAAAAATTTTAATAAAATAAAGACTCAGGTCAACATGTGGATGGAAACTGTAGTCACGTCCCTAGGTGTTCTACAGTGGCAGCCCTGTCTCTGTGCTTCAAGTTCTCTCTGTGCGTCGAAGTCCCAGTCCTTCTTAAGGAGCAGAACAGTTATGCTACTAAGCAGGAGTCCCACTTACTGCAGCTGGGCCTCCCCACGCTCCACTCTGCGTCAGGGCACGAAGTGACACGCTTCACACGGGGTTTCTCACCCTTGGTGCTACTGCCATTTGGGGCCATGTGTTGTTGAGGGAGGCTGTCCTGTGCATTGTAGAATATTTATTAACAGTTATGTCCCTGGTCTAGAAACACTAGATGCCAGGAGCACCTTTGTCCTCAGATATGACAATCAAAAATGTCTCCAGACATTGCCCAGCATGCCCTGGGGGGCAGATTGCCCTGGGTTGAGAATGGCTACACTTTATATTCTCCTCACTGAGCACAAACCTCACCACTCACCTGCGAAGGAGGATTATCTCTGTCCCCATTCTACAGATGAAGAAACTGAGGCTCACTGAAGAAGAGTGACTAGCCCCAGGTGACAAAGGGGGGAAGTGATGGTTGGATGGTGAATCTAGTTATGGGATTCGCAGGACTCAGAGATGAAAGACCCCAGCTTGGGGTGAGACCACGGCACTCACTTTCTGAAGCTCTTCAGTGAAGGTGTGGCCCTTTTCCTCGATTAATTCCATAGCAAACCTATGAAGAAAAAGGAAAAAGAGTTTGCCTCTAACATAATGTCCCCAGGCCCTGTCCTGCTGTAAGACAACAGATTCTCAGGTGGTAAGCTACTTAACTAATTTAGCTGTAATAGCCATGATGTGATTTTTCTTGCTGACAATAAGAACATTATAACCTTCCATTTAGACGGAGTATTTGTTTCTTGAAATGCCTTTTCTTATGCTTATTATTTCTAGTCCACTGTCCCTGTTTGAACACCTACTCTGGCCAGGCCCAGGTGATTCAGAAGTGAGCAGAAGCTGACACAGGTTCTGTCTGGCAGGAGAGGGAGGCATGCATTGGATTTCATGCTACTAAAGGTGAAGTTGCAAACTGACATCAGTGCCCGGAAGGAAAAGGCGACAGAAGCTAACCTGGCCTCAGCTAGCGGGGCAAGGAGGGTTTCTTAGAGGAAGTGACGCTAGAGGTGGGACTTTGCAGGCTGAGTAGGGGCTCCCTGGAAAGGCGAGGTGGGGCAGGGAAAGCAAACTGCCCCAGACGCGGGTCGGGACCCTGGATCTGGCCTCCTTCAGAATGCCGCATTGCCACCCTGCACCAGTCAGGGTCCTGGCAGGGGACAGGCAGTGGCGCACTGGAAGGATTCCTGGAGGAGGGGAAGAGACCCTTCGCAGAGGTGCGGGCAGAGTCACAGGAACTGGCGAGAGATGGCAAAGCCTGGCAAAGGCAGGAGGCTGAAGGGGCGAGGACGGGAGGTGCTACTGACCCTGGAGCCACCGACAGGAGCCCCCAGCAGGGAGAGAGTTAGGGAGACAGCCCAGCTGCCACAAGAGCCACACACACTGTGGAACGGGGTCATACACACTCCCAAACCTCTCTCTGCTCACTCCCCCATCTCCTGCGGGCGCCTGCCTGTGGCTGGACCCACTGAAAGCCAGAAGACCAGGGGCTTGGGGTGATGAGGTCAGTACGGTCAGTCTCCCAGGCACAGAAAGGTGAAGGGAAGGGGGGAAAACGGATTTGAAAGGGCAAACAAAGAATAACCAGCACATCTTCCCAGCACATCTTACAATTAGAATGAGGCAAATAAACATGTCATTCACTGCCTCACGCAGGGGTGGGGAACCTGCGGCCTCGGCCATGTGTGGCCCTCCAGATCCCCAACTGCAGCCCCTCGACCGAATCCAGACTTCACAGAACACATCCCTTTATCAAAAGGATTTGTTCTGTACAATTTGGATTTAGTCAAAAGGCTGCACTCAGGGATCCAGAAGGCCACACGAGTCTGGGCTGTGAGGGCTGTTCTGGCTGGAGCAGTCTGTCCTCAGCAGAGCAGTGTGCCCAGGCCTGGCTCGCAGCAGGTGTCCAGAAGTATCTGCTCGCTGATACTCAGGTCAGTGGCAGGGCCCTCCTCGGTGCCTGCTCCCACCACTTGTGACTGCCCAGTTATTGTCTGCCTGCACCTCCCAGACTATGGCTGCATGAGGGCAGGGCCGAGGCTGTCCATTTAGCAGTGCCTGGCACAGGGCATGCCTGGTCAACCTCTGACAATGGAGGGATCCACAACTGAGGTTTCCCTGACCTCCTGCCCCACCTCAACTGAGAGACGATGGCTGCTGAGTGGCAGGTTCTGCGTAGCTGATGGTGGAACGGGCCTCCCTCCCCTCTGTCTGCTTCGCCTGTGACTGCCCCCCTGAGCCCCTCCCCCCACACTCAGGGGTCTGCCTACTCTGTCCGGCTGGCAGACTAGCCACACCTCCCATCATCTGTCTTGAAAAATCTCACCTAGTCAGGCCTGCTAGATCTTAAGAATAATAATGATAATAGCTAACATTATTATTACTGGTGTTAGGCACTGTTAGGGTGACACATGCCAAGTATCTCATTTAATCCTCACACGAACACAGTGTTCAGATATTTGCTGCCTCTCCCACCCTACTGATGTCAGGTGTGTCCATGTGACTGGCTCTGGCCAATGAAATGTGAGTAGATCAGAGGTATCATTCCCCTGGAAGCCTTAAGAGCCACTGCGAGCCTCACCATGACCTCTTTTCCTTCTGCTGCAATGATTGGTATCGCCCCAGACAGAGGCTGTCCTGCCAGCCTGGGTCCCAGAGTGAAGGCCACACGGAGCAGAAACACACCCACCCTGTGATGGGCTTGAAGTAGGAGCAGGAAATCCACCTTCAGTGTCACAAGCCATGAGATTTAGGGCTGTTTGTTTCCACAGCACGACCTGGCCCATCCTGACTGATTCCTTGAATCAACCTTCTAAACTTCGGCTTATTTAAAAAAGATTCACAAAAGGGATCACATTTGATGCACTGTGTATTATACTAACTCACCTCTTTCACTTAATCTATGGACCTCAACGGCATACACAGGCTCACCTGAAAAGTGAGGGAGCCAGGGAAGGAGGGGTAAGGCAGCTTCACACCACATGGGACAAAAGCTGGTACAGGAGCAGGCAGGGCCAGAAGGGAAAGGTGTCTATAGCCCGGCAGCCTTGGGGAGCTGACCGGCCTGTGCTTCCAGGCTGAGGCAAGTTCACTGAGAGGTGACAACCTACAGGACTGCCCAGCACTCGTGAGAACTTCACATTTAGTGATGCCCAATTCAGACTCAACCTCAAGGCCAATCTCCTCTCCCTTACCCAATAGCTGAACTTAATTCATCTGTAGTTCCCACGGCTTCAAACACTTGGTCATCTTTGGGTCTCCTTTCTCCAGTGAAGGTGCTAGAAAACCCTGTGAAAAGATGTTGAGCAGCCCAAATTAAGATTTTGTTTTCCTGATATGTTGTTTTATTAAAAACTTTCCACTTGAAGTGTAACTTATACACAGAAAAGTGCTCAAATCGTTTAAGTGTACAGGTTGATGAATTGCTGCTAACTGACTCTGTGATCAGCACCCAGCTCAAGAAATAGAACATGATCAACACCCTAGAAGCCCCCATATACCCTCTTTCACTGGCTACCCTGCAAGAGTAACCACCATCCTGACTTCTTTCCTGATAGGCTTTTATTTTATACTTAAAAATCATGTACTAACCATCCTGCTACAGAAATAAAACATATGTGTGTACACTGTATATACATTATCATTACAGTAATATTTCACATGAAATCAAACCTTTCTGCACCTCTGCCTAGGTCACAGTCTCTGTCTTTCTCCCCCAACCTCTGGGAAAGTGAAAACCACCCCTGACAGTCGGGAGCTACCCTGGCACTATCAGGTAGGCTTTGGGGTTGCCAGGTGCTGGCCTGGCACTCACAGGTAGGCAGTGGTGTTCCACTGAACAGAAACTATTTCACAGAACACCTTGAGACGGGCCACACTATGGTTGTGATGGATCAAAACCCAAACAAGGCCACTCTGCAATCATGTCTGAGCACAGGACATAGTCCAAACTACAAAAGATGAACAAATATCCCCCTTTCCTGGCTAATGTAAGTGCTGCATTTTTATCCATGACAGCTTTGGCACCTCTCTGTCCCTTCTACCTTCCATAGAAAAACTATTAAGATACTTGATTATAGAATTAGCCCTGCTCCCTGACACCATCAAATCCAGAGCAACCCCCACTTCCTTAAATCCTCCCCCAAACCACCCAACATACGTCCAATCCTAATATCCTTTCCAGCATCCTCTTCCTGAGCCGCCCCATGCCTCATTCTAATGAGTCAACTGACCTAACTTTGTTTGACTAGAGATTGTCCCTGGAGGTCTGGCTGGAGGACATCAACAATACCATCTGGTGTTTATTATTCCTATGTATGTTGTCCTTTTTTTTTTTTATTGTGGTAACATATACTTAACAGAAAATTTACCATTTTGATCTTTTTTTTTTGAGACACTCTGGGTCTCACTCTGTCATCCAGGGTAGAGTGCAGTGGTAGCATCACAGCTCTCTGCA